AAACTGAGACTTTCTTCAGGCCAGCATGGAAAAAATGGGAGTAGGCCCCATCTTCTGAAAATGAGTGAGAATACTCTCCAACGACGCACAAGGGATAGTTCAAGTCAACTGCTTCCTCTCGAACCCTTACCCAATGACAAGGTCAATAAGACAAGGGGATCCATTAGCTGCACCGATTTTCCTGTTCGTCATGGAGGCCATAGCGGCCTTCCTAAGAAAGGATAGAACCATAGAAAGAATAGAAAACATCAAGGATATACGAGGTAAAATCCTCAACATCCCCACCGCTTCGCAGATGATCTCACAGTACTGATCAGCGCATCATGATAAAAGCAATGCAAGCATTCCAACTGGCCTCAGAAATTGAAGTCAACTGGACCAAGACAATAGGCTGGTGGACCGCAGATGCACCCACTCCCGTAGAACTATCCCCGCTAGGTCTACATTGGACTAATCCAGATTCACCAATCCGTTTCTTGGGCATCAACCTTAATCTCAAAGGATGTCATCAAATCTCGACGGCGTCACTCTTGTGTTCAATGGTCAACAGGATGCACACCTGGAAAGCCACACACACTTCCCTTCTAGGCAGGGTACTGGCACTCAACAACTCAATCCTAGCAATGATGTGGTACTCTACCTCCATCTGGTTCCCAACTTCTGTTTTCCATAGTCAGTTGAGGAAAAAAACAGCAGCATTCCTATGGACAGGTAATCCGGACAAGCATCACTTTATCCACAAAGTGGCTTGGCAAATAGTCACCAGCCCAAAAATCAAAGGGGGCCTAGGTCTCATAGACCCAACCCGCCAAATCCAAGCCCTACAAATCAAATGGATCATAAGACTGGCCCTCTAGGACAATTTGCACTGGATCCCACTGGCCCTGAACCACATCAGAGAACCAGCACCTTTTACCTCTCCTACCAACATGACAGGCCTATTTTGGATATTTAACAAACACTGGCCACTTCCTAAAGGGAAACGGAGACAACCCGACCAAGCACTCCAGCAGAACTCTAATGACTCCCATCAAACCAAATCCCTCTGGGAACAAATCCTACATACGTGGAGACTCGTCTTCCCAGAGAACAGAACAGGTCCAAAGAAAAAAGACGAAATCCTCAGGCAACCCCTCCTTGGCAACCCTCTGATTAAGAACGATAAAGGTGAAAGCCTACCACTCTCGAAGTCAGATCCTAAATGGGGACACTGGCTAGAAAAGGGGATATGGCAAATTCAACACATATGGGACGAACCAAACAAAACCTGGAAAACAGAAAGAGACCTAAGAGATAAACTAAAAGGAACACATCGCTTACAAATCAACCTAAACAATATAGTAGACTACATCCCTCTACATTGGCGAGCCCTATTGATATCAGACCAAACTTGGCAATACGGAGACTGGACCACTACCACTGACTCCTCACCAATACAGGAAGTCCTCACATTCAAGAATTACGAACCCCACAACAAGAACTGGATATGCTGTAACATACACACCCTAGAAAAACCAGGAAACCCGGTTAGTTATATCAACATAAAGAGCAGAGCAGAAGGAGCATTCAACGCCAACAACCAGAGAAGAATCAAAATCATAGAAGGAGAAAGGAAGAGAGTCTATATAGTATAAACCCCATATCAACGTTTGCGATCTAGAGATTGATCCCACGGAATGGTCATGGAGCTTCTCTTCTCGTCCCGCTCCCATTTCCAACTCATGCAAGCTAACTGACTATACACCCAAACTAGGCTATAGACTTTTCACCAAACCCATATCAATATCCAATACAATACGCAATAGGTGGACAAAAGAAGAGCCACAACTAGCCAATATTAGCTTCAAACTCCCCTGGGCCACAGTACTATCCACAAGACCGGCCAAGCTAGCTATCCTGAGATGGCTAATTGCCTTCCAAGCAGTCCCAGTAAACAAATGGTTGGCCATCAGACGCAATCAAGGAAACAGTTCTGAACAAGATTCCTGGTGCAAGGTATGGAACCTCAACATCCCAGAATCCCTGAACCACTGCTTCATTGACTGCCCAAAAGCCAGATCCCTACGGCAAGGCCTAGAAACATCATGGCTCAAAATATCAGACTCTCCACTATTAATCAAACCCGCCACACTATTCCTCGACCTCAACCAATTACCCCCACTCAAAGGCTTCGAAGCCTTCCTCTCCTCCCAAATCAAAAAAAGCACCCTATGGGCCATATGGAAAAACAGATGTGACACCACCTTCGATGACAGACTCACCACCCCAGAAAACTACTCATCACAATCAAACAGCTAATAGACACAGAACTCCACGCCCTCTGGAACAAACAACGTAAAAAGCTCCCAACTGACCCCGACAAAAAAAACCTAACAATCCTAAAATTCTCAGCATCCAAATTAGGCAATGGGCTCCTTGGCACAATCAACAACGATAGACTAATTCTAAAAAAATGGCTAACCTTAACACATACATAAAGCCTGCCCAAAACCCACCCTATTCCACACACTACCAAACTCAAACCAAGCTACCATAACTAACCAATAACCGAAGCACTAAAAAGCCCTAGCCCCCCACCAACCCCACTCCCCACCCCTATTGCGACCCCCCCCACCTGCTAGCGTCCGTCTCCACATCACCACAATCCCCTTCAACTCACGCTTCACCTACCCCCCCTCCCACACCCTCCATAATACAACAACCACTATACCTTAACTAACTAATAAACCCAACCACGATCACCCCCCACTCCTCAACATCCCCCTTTCAAGCGAAACCAACAGCCCAGAACTGCCCCACCAGCCTTAGCAGGATAAGACACAGATGCGACCACCGGTGATAGGACAGGACACAGAAATGACAGGATAGGCTTTAGTGTTCTGTCACCAAGCACAGGAAAAGACCAGATCCCCAGTAAATCAGGCTAACTTAGGCAGGGGTGAAGGGTGGTACATCCTTTCTCCGGGAAGTAATCAATGCCGTCCTTTGGACCTCCACACCACAAGGGGGAGGAGCGTGAGTGCGTATATCCTTGTATCATTTCTGACTTGCCGGTGGAATAGGAACCGGACTGCTGCTCCCCAGAATGGAAAAGGAGCCGGAATCATAAGGTTCCGTTTATCAAAAAAAAAAAAAAAAAAAAAAAATGCTCATGTGATTCTGTTGCTCCCCAGAATGGCAGGAAAAAAAAAAATGGTCATGTGATTCTGTTGCTCCCCAGGATGGCAGGAAAAAAAAAAATGGTCATGTGATTGATGGGTGAAATAAAATATGATAAGAGTTGAAATACTCTTGTGCGCTCCTTTTGTGACAGCAGCACCTGCCTGACCAGCATCTACTGCCACCACTGCCGCAGCTGCTGTTGCTACTACCACTGCTCTTGCTAGTGCCACTGTCACTCTTGCTCTGATGATCATTTTCTTCCTCCTCCTCCTCCTCCTCCTCCTCTTCCTTCTCCTCCTCCTCCTTGTCCGTTCTTATCTTCGTTTCTTCCTGCTCTGAAACGGTTTTCACCTTTCTGCAGTCACAGATGCGGGCCCTAGAGTTCGATTCCCAGACCTCACTTTGCCCATGTACAGTATCGAGTCGACACCCGAGTGTTTGAACCCGTGACCTGTGTTTTGGTAGTTGTTTGTTGTCTGTCGTAGGTCTGTGTAGTGGTCAGGGTTCGATCTGTAGGTCTGTCGATTAGGAGTCACAGCTTTGTAGAGGTCGTAGCTGTAGGTACTCTGAAAGGTCAAGGTAGTAGCTTCTACAGTCCTGAAAGGTCAAGGTCGTAGCTGCTACAGTACCCGAAAGGCCAAGTCCACAGACTTCCGGAAGTGGCCTTTCAAAGTGTCTCACGCTTAGTCAGAGGCAAGTGGGCAAGTGGTGAGCCAACTGCGTTACGTCGGCAGTGCGACTGCATCAAGTTGGCAGTGCAAACCCATGCAGTCAGCGGTCCCGGTCCCAGTCAGTCAGAGTCCAGTCAAGCAAGTACCGTGTGGGACTGTGTGCACCAAGGGCCTGGGAAAGAGGCAGACCAACGAGTTACAGAAGTATAAATCAAGAGGCAGCGCCCAGCCATTCATTCATTCGCTGCGTAAGCCATGCGGAAGCGCTGCTACAGCGTCTTTTGCGAAGGTGGTCTGCAGGTTGCCCGAAGACGAAGTGGGCCGAGGAGAGACAGCGTAGTCATAGTTAGTAGTAGTAGGGCGGCCATAGCCGCTGCAGTGTTAGAGGTTAGTGAGCGTGTACAAGTGAATGTACGTGGGTGTATTCAGGGTGACCCAGAGTTGAGTGCGGGTGAACGGTGGTGTTGAACACAGTGACGAGTGTTGCGATGAACAGGCGCTGATGCGCCATAGTCTGTTGAAGCGAGTTTACATCTGAGCTGTGTTCTTGGTTGCCATATCTCTGAGCTTGGTGTGGGCGCTGTGCGCCAGTGTGAATCGCCATCTGTTTGCATATATGTGAAGTGGAAGTGAAAGCGAGCGTGATTGCAGGAGCCAGAACCGGGAGGTTCTGTTTAAATAATAATAATAATAATAATAATAATAATAATAATAATAATAATAATAAAATGGTCATGTGATTGATGGGTGAAATAATATGATAAGAGTTGAAATACTCTTGTGCGCTCCTTTTGTGACAGCAGCACCTGCCTGACCAGCATCTACTGCCACCACTGCTGCAGCTGCTGTTGCTACTACCACTGCTCTTTCGAGTGCCACTGTCACTCTTGCTCTGATGGTCATTTTCTTCCTCCTCCTCCTTCTCCTCCTCCTTGTCCGTTCTTATCTTCGTTTGTTCCTGCTCCGAACCTCCTCCTCCTCCTCCTCCTCCCCCTCCTCCCCCTCCTCCCCCTCCTTTTTCTTCTCCCCGTCCTCCTCCTTACTCCTCTTCCTCCCTTGTTGCTGCTGTCTTCCTCCTACCTCTATTGTTGAATGGCAGATCTACCCGTTTGTAGTAAGAAGGGCACAACTTTTCACAGGTTTGAGTGTTCTTTCTGTCTTCCACAGATTCGCACAGATGTGATTTCAAATGTGAGGAATAAGAGCTACGAGAAGGCACTCTCTGACATCGAAAAATGTAAGCTCAGCGACTCTTGATTTACACATCCTTTGTAGTGTATACCGTGCCTGATAATGCGTTCCACCAAAAATATAGACAAGAGACAGCTGATGGCCTGTAGATGTTTGGAGAGCATGTGAGATTTGAGGTAAATGGACTGTTATGCATGACTGTGAAAAGTAGTAGTGAGTCTAGTGACAGCTTACGCACAACAATAAACAAATAAGTAGCAACGTCAGATGGACCTTCACAACAGCACAAATTTGCTGCTTAAGGATTGGGTGCGAGCCCACAGTCTATAGAGTCTTCCATCTGGTGTGGTGGGTGATAGTCTGCTTTCATGTTCATCACAGGTACCCTCGAGGGCAATGGTGGGTGCCCAACCGCAACTGGGTTTAGAGTGGGGGATTCAGCACACTGTATAGGGGTTCAGCCTCCTGATGAGTCGGCAAAACTCTGATGAAACAATCTGTCACACTCTCCCTTAGATCCATTCGACGAAACAGTCTGTCACAGCCCCTTGTTTCTTGTCCTATTCTCCTTCTCTGCCTACGGTTTGCAGGCCAGTTTCTGTATGATGATATATAAGATCTAATTAAGGAGAAATAAAACAGAAGCCACTATGTGCTTCTCTGCCCCTCTGCCCACAGCTCACCGGGCGGTTCCCTATGACTATACATATACGGTTCATCCTCCTGATGAGTCGATGAAACTCTTACGAAACAGTCTGTCATGGGCCCTTCATTTGTTATCCTCTTCTCCCTCTTGCCAAGTGTGCTCTTTTAGTTGATAGATATGTGACAATATATAGTCAAACAGAGCTGCCCGGTAAACCGTAGGCAGAGAGGGAGAAGAGAACAACAAACGAGGGGCTGTGACAATATATGTATAGATAATAGGCTACCAGAGTGGCCCGGAACCACTTGCCCGGCTGGGCCAAAAAAAAAAAGCCTATTTTCTGCATAATGTAGTTGTTTTTCGGATTTTTTCAAAATTTTTTGGACTTTTTTTCTTTTTTTTTTTGCTGGGACCTTCTGTGGTCCTTGGCAAGGTCACCCGGGCGGACTGGCTGGTAGCCTAGATAGATGTATAATATATTACTATTATAGTATTATTACATGTATCATCAGATTCATCATAGATAACTGCCCGGTGAACCTTAGGCAGAGAGGGAGATAGTCACATATATGATGTGTGAGAAAAATGAATGGTTTCAGTGTGCCCCTCATGTTTGTCTTTTTCTTCTTTTTTTTTTTCTGTTTGTTTCGCAAAGTGTGCTCTTTTTAGTTCATACTACTTCATAGTTATGTCACTTATGTGACAATATATGACGTCGACGATCTCCTTTGGAAAGATGATGTTTTCTTGCCTCTGCAACCCATCTGCACATTCTTCAATGTCAAGAATTACTTCTCTGCTCCCGTGCCGCAGCAGGACAGTGTGTCATCGGTCTTCGACCTTCTCCTCTGCACCGCTACGGACACTGTTACACTCACTGCAAGCGTCATTGCCTGTGCCACTCTCACTAAATTCACTACAGTGGCAGGGTTTCTGCGTCTGTTGTGCATAGGGCTGCCCGCCATTTCCTGACTGCATGCACCATCCTCATCCAGACACCATGTTTCCATTTCACGGCCAGGGACGTTATAGTGAATGCATGGTCTTTTGTGATGCCCGCTCTTCCTTCCTGTTAGCCTGCAACCTACATGCCGTTTGTCGAGAGCGTTTGGTGGGCATGCTTGTTGTGCTGAGAATGCTCAGCTAGGTCTTCAATCATTCCATGCCATTGCTCACCTGGGCCCTACTGTTGATGACCCCTCTCAGCCCTCTCCCTTAATGACATGCAGGCTTCCGCGCCTTTTCTTATTCTTCCCTACCCTGTCATCTTTAATCTGCACAGTGCACCCCATACTTTCCCTTTGTCTTCCTTCAATCTTTCCTCTCTCTTTATCCCGTCTCCTGTTACCCTTCCTCTTTTCACAGCATGCAAATGGGGCTTAGTGGGCTGTTATGTCATACAGGGATGTAGGCAGCTAGCGCTCAACTCCGTCAGCGTGGTGAGCCTTGTGCGTGAGAGCCACAGTACAAGGGAGCTAACAGAAAACATCGAAGACAAACCGTGACAAAATCTGAAACAAAGAAAGAAAAGAACAAACTGCACATGAAAAGACGAAGGAACAGCTTCAATGTCCCGTCTGCTACGTTCTTCGGTTGTTTCACAAAGTGTGCTCCTTTAGTTGATAAATGTGTGCAATATATTATATGTTTGACTAAATGTATATGCTATTGTACTTATTATACTACATATTATGAGTCAGGGAAACCCCAACTTGGAACAGCCTGTCCAATCCCCGTATTTTTTCTTGTCCTGGTCTCCCTTTATGCCTACGGTTTACGGGCCGTTCTCAGTGGCTATATATACCTGTCTCTAGTGCCAGTGGCATCTCTGGAGTGTATTTTCTGCCTGTGACAGATCTTTCTTTGTTTCGTGGGTGTTTTGCTGACTTATGATGGGTGTGAACCCACGGTCTATAGAGTTTTCCGTCTGGTGGGGGCGAGTGATAGTCTGCTTTGATTTTTGTCACAGGTACCTTGTGGGAAGTGGTTGGTGCCCACCTCATGGTATCAGTTGTCGGTCTGTCGTTATTCTTAAATCACCAGTACTTGGCCCAGGTATCAGCCGCCGCGCCTTTAGGGCTTCGGGGTACCGGACCACAATGGCTGGAAGCGCCAGCCAAAAAAAAATTGAAACGGTACCCCGGCGCTTCGGCAAAAATCGCCACGCAGGGGCATTCCAGGCTCGGCATTGATAGCTGGGCCAAGTACTGGTGGTTTAACTGCAACGGGGTTAAGGTGGGTTGTCACTGAACCGTATCATTAGTTCAGGGACTCTGCAGACTGTACAGAGTTCAGCCTCCTGATGAGTTGGTGAAACTCCGACGCAACAGTCTGTCACAGCCCCTCGTTTGTTGTCCTCTTCTCCCTCTCTGCCTACAGGTTGTCGGGCAGTTCTGTTTGACAATATGTACTTGTATATAGTCACATATCTATGAACCAAAAGAGCTCACTTTGCAAAACATATGATATATATATATTTTTTAAATAGTAAAAATACACAAGACAAACATGAAGAGCACACTGAAACCATTCTTTTTTATCATTCTTCTTTTAACATAATTGTTTTTTTTATTAATTTAAATCATTTTTTAATTCTTTGAATGCAGCTCCTAATTGCATTAAATTTCTTAGCTTGTGCTGTTTTTTCTTCCCCATCGCCCTTCTTCGTGAGTGTAATTTTCATGAGTGCTTCTCTTGGACCTTCTTTGGGAGAGGGGGGAAAAAAGTTTGTTTTCGTTTTCCAGTTCTTTTTCCCATTAACCGTTAGCTTCTTCTCTCCGTTTTAAACTTCCCCAGTGATAGAGCTGGAGCCAGAAAACCAGATTGCGCAGGAGTTTCGTCCTTTGCTGATGGAGAAAATCGAGCTAGGTAAAGAGAAAGCATAAAGGAAAAAAAGAAGACATTGATAAAGCCACTGAAGAGGCCCCATTCTTGAGGGGCATCCCTCCTCTTCTGTCTTCTTCTCCCTTCCTTGTCTTCCTCCTTGCTGGATCCTCCCTCTTCCTCCTCCTCCTTCCAATTCGCCCTTGCCCTGCATCTTCCTCCTCCTCCTGCTGCTCCTCCTCCTCCCCCTCCTCCTGCTTCTCCTGCTCCCCCTCACTCTTCCTCCTCCTCCTACCCTTGTCCTTCCCCCTTCTGCTCCTTGCCCTTTCTCCTCCTTGTCTTCTGTATCCTCTCTCTTCCTCCTTTTCCGCTCCCTCTCCCAACTCGTCGTCGTTACCTTGTCTCTTTCTCCTCCTCCTCCTCCTCCTCCTCCTCCTTGTCCTCCCCCTCACTCTTTTTCTCCACTTCCTACCCCTTGTTCTTCTCCCTGCTTCTCCTCCTCCTGTTTCTCGCCCTTCTCCTCCTCCTTGTCCTTCACATGCTCATCATTTAGGAACCCGTGTAGAATCATATGAGGTTTTGTCGATGGTTTCACATTCCCATCCTATAAGGCTGCCTCTGAATCGGTGACAAACTCAGAAATGTTCACTTCTGAGAGACTGGTGATTTGGCCCGGCCGGCTTTTTGGGAGCCGCGGCACTGCAGCCAGCTTTTTGGGTGCAATCAGCTTTTGGGGAGCAGCAGTGCTGCAGCACCCAGAAAACTGGCTGAGTCAAACCACAGCGTCCCTCCAGGGCCCAGCTCTGCAAAAGTTGTATCAACTTGTATGCCATTTCAGCAAAGCAGTTTCATCCAGGGACACTGTTCCATTTCCAGGTATAAGAGATCTTGGCCTGTTACATACTTCAATGAGTATGGGCAGAACCAAAGATCAACCAATATAGGATGAGCATTTATGCAGCGGAAGTCTGATAACGAACTGACTCACATAGACTGACTCACATAGACTGACTCACATAGACTGACCTACATGGCATCACTCCACACACATACAATCATGAGATGGTGGGGTCTGGGTCATTTATAGACGATACCCAGATCCCGTACACACATACACAGATGAAAGGTGGGAGGAGAGACGAAGGAGGTAGGAGGTAGATCACAC